GGGGGCGGGGTGAGAGGTGGAGAGCAGGAGCGCGGTCGCCGAAGGATGACGTATACGGGGCAGCCCGGCTCAATGTTGTCTAACGGGAGCATGTGGGTCTGCGGCGCACTGTGCCGGGCACAAGCCCTGGCCCGACCGCAGCAGGAGCTGTCCCCGTCTTCAGGACGCCGCGGGCCAGCTGTCTCCTCCTACTCCTCATCTGCCAAGACCTCCCGGGTCCGAGCGCTGGTCTATGGGCACCACGGGGACCCAGCCAAGGTCGTCGAGTAAGAGGGCAGCGCCAAGACGCGGGGGGAAAAAGACCCGGGACTTGGTGTGGTTTGAGACGGGTTGGGGAGAAAGTGGGGTGAGGAAGGAAGGGTTCGAGGAGGGAGCAGAGAACAAGAACACAGGAAATGAAGCCCAGGGATTATTTGGTAGCTCAAAAGGTTCGTGCCTTGAAATGACTGAAGACCCGAGTGGCACAATTATACTGGTAATAATCTAAGTAATAATGACGGGCATTTCTTGATAGCGTTCCATGTGTCAGACAATCCCTTGTTTAAGTCGATTCTCTGATTTGGGGGTGAGTGCTTGTTATTCCCATTTTTCAGATGAGAAAGCTAAGGTGTAGGAGAAGTAAAATCACTTGCCCAAGGTTACACAGCCAGTAAGTGACATAGTTGGCATTGGAACTGGCTGACTTAGCTGAGTTCTTACCCTCTATTATTTTGGGCTATTTATAATTCTATGCATCCGTGGAGGAGATTTTCAAGTCCATTTCATATGGACCTCACTTCTCAGTAAACTATGTCATACATCTGTTTTAATCTTACAAAGGACAAGTGATAATGGGTTCCTGACTCCTCATTCATGTGATGTCTTCTTCACTGCATTATAAATGCTCCTTGACTTAATGTAGTAAACAGAGTTCAGGTTTTGGAGCTACACCAACCTCAGGTTAAATACAGACTCAGTGTCTTGAGAGCTGTTTGATCTTGAACATGTCCCTCACCCTCTTTAAGCCCTCCTTTATGATTTTACCCTCTGTCTCAAAATACTCTGGGTCTTAATCTGTGAATTTTGCTTGTTGTTGATAAAAACAGGTGTGTGAGTTGTCAACCATTATAAATCCGCACATAAATAGCTTTAGCTTTTCACATCAACAAATGGGGCTGCTGGAGTGGAGTTAAAGTGAAATCACTGGTGAAAAACTGAGGTCAATGCTCTCCAGTTTCCTGTCCTACCTCTGTGTGTTTGGTTACTTAGATTCTCTGAGCCTCAGTTTCATCATTGTTAAAAATGGAGGCAATACAACATAGCTCATAGTGCTAAGCAATCAAATGTGCATCCCCAAACTGCGTGTTTCCTTTGCAGTCAGTTGTGTACAACTCTGCTTCGAGTCCCAGCAAATAAGTTTGATTGTTTTTCAAAGGATCAGCAAACATGGAATTTTTTTAATGGTTATAATCTAGACTACATATTTTGACAGGTGAAAAGGATCAGCCTCAGATAGATTCAAGGTCATGCACTCAACCTAGCCCCATGCACCATTAGAGCAACTGGAAAGAATATTGAGAAGGTACATCAGAGTCAGTAAAGCCAAATTGTATGTTGATCAGTGGTAATGAATCACGGTGTCACAAAGACAGCTCCCAGAGGACACTGCTGTAATGAGCTGGTAAAGCTCTGGTGAGCGCGCCTGCATTTCCAGGAGTACCCCTCAGATAGGGCAATGGTTTAGTGACTCACTCACAAGCTTGTAAATTATGTGTCTAATGTAGGACCTACTGCAAAACTAGTACTCCAAAAGTATTGGTTAAATCTGAATCGAGTGTCAGTAAGCAGTGTACCTTGTATTGAGTTCTTACTGTGCTAATTTGTAAAAGAAAGGCAGAATGAGATGTGTGATGAAGAGGAGGGCATCTTACATGTTCAGGGAGCCTGGAGGAAGGGCCTGGTGGGATTAAGCAGGAAGGGAAAGTGATGTCTGACAGAGCTGAGGACAGTCCCTCCTGACTGATTCCTTTGTCTTGGCAAGGGTAAGCTGGAACAAACTGGTCTAATAGCAAATGCCACTTCAGAAACAGAAGCAGCTTCTCTTGTGTCTTTATGTGGAGCCATAGGTAATTTCTCCGAAGTCAAACCATGACACTACCATGAAGCATTGGGTTCAACCTTAGTTTCACATCTCAGTTATGGAGCTTTTGTTGTTAAGTGCCGTCGAGTCTATTCCGACCCATAGCGACCCTGTATAGGGTTTTCAAGGAACAGCTGGTGAGCTTGAACCACCGACCTTGCAGTTCAAATGGCTTTGCAGTCTGACACCTTAACCCACAGCGCCACAGAAACTACATATTCCTAAACCCCATTACTGAGGTACATAGCAGGTCTATGGTAGTCCTTGAGCTTCTGTATTCTTTAGAGCTCTCCAGGTGACTCTAATGCCCAGGACAAGATTTAGAACCACTGCCCTGTGGTGCAGATTAGCAGACAAGCAGTAATTGCCCCTCTGCCTCAGAAGGAACCCTCCATGCTGACCCATATTCGGGTGATTTAATTTATCTATGTATAGATGATGCCAGAGGCTAGGATTCTCTTTGTACTCATGTTTTATTATAAGATTGAGGATAACCACACCGTCACAGAATCAATCAAGTGTCCTTACACATCCCAGTGACTGGGTGTCTGGTTCAGGTTGCACCAGGTAGGATCATAGAACTCCCAGCGTCCAAACAGCATTTCCCCAAGTGGTATGGTTTGTGATACTACACTGTGGGCACTGAGACAGATGATGTGGGGGCTGCCAGGTCTCAGGGGCTAAGGACCTCCTCAAGGTATCACCTGTTCTCATGTCTACATTTTTCATATCCCTCTCCTCATTCCTGTTGACCCCCAAACATTCCACCTTTTTTTTTTTCCCCCATCTACTGAGCTGTTTTCCCCTCTCTCGGAATTTCTCTCCCTTCACAAAGCGGGTTCCCCTAAAACAGTCACACCTTTTCACTTTTAAACTGCGGATCTAAATGATTTAAAACTGTAGAAGAAAATGACAAACATGGGGGAGCTACAAATACGATAAGGAATTTCTGACATCCTGTGACCATTGTCCTTTGTGCAGAGTTCTGGCTTTTCTTTATCAGATAGTTCTCAGAAACCCTTTTGACCTCCTTTTTCCTTTTCTTCCTGGGTGTCCACTCTCAGGACTTTGCCATTCCCAGGTATTATGGTAAAACAGGATCGCTATGAGTCAGAGCCTCCTAGATAGCACTTAATAGTAACTGTGTGGCAGGCATTAGGCGGGCATTAAATATAGTGTTTAAATATCACAATAACTCAGTTTGATCTTTGTTATCCCCATTTAACAGATGAAGGAACAGGCTTGAAAAGGTTAGTTACTTTTCCGAGATCATACAATTAGAATGTCTTTTCTTTATTAAAATTCCTCGATACAGACATAGACCTAAAACAACAATAGCAACTATCTCAAATCTGTTGAAGAAGGAGATTTGGTATAAAATTGGTAATTGTTATTGTTGTTAAGTGCCGTCAAGTTAGTTCCGACCCAAAGCAACCCTGTATAGAGTTTGTGAGAAGTGGCTGGTGAGCGTGAACTGCCGACCTTGTGGATCAAACCGACTTTGAAGTCTATCTAGCACGTTAACCTATAGCGCCACACCAGGACTCCAGATTGGTAATGTTGTTGCTAAGTGCCGTCAAGTCGAATCCAACCTATAGTGGCCCTGTAGAGGGTTTCCAAGGAGTGACTGGTGAGCTTGAATCACCAACCTTGCAGTTCAAACCGACTTTGCAGTCTAGTGCATTAACCCACAGTACCACATTGGAACTCCTCAAATTGGTAATAAGATGGGTCAAAAGAGAAGTTGGAATTATAGGTCATTCTGGAGACCCTAAAGCCACTATTCATAAGAAGGGCAGCCCTACCATGGAGAAGACAGTTAGTTCCTCCCTTTTTAGGATCCTGGTCAGCCTGACCTTCTCTCCTGTCTGCTGCTAGTACAGAATGAGCTCCTAGAACTAAGCCATGAAGCCCGTAGACACGTTCCCCATTCTGTCTCAGGCTAGGTGGGGCTTGGGGGAGTAAGACATTGGTTAGTCTCCTGAGTTCTTTATTGTGGACATGAGTAAAAGGAGAGGAACAGAATTAATTGGTTTATTAAGTTGTCGTTGTTGTAATTTAGCCAACATTTATTCTTTGAGGGCCCACTAAGTGCAAGACACTGGAGACCAAGATGAACAATGATGAGATCTCTGTCCTCAAGGCAAAATCCAGGAGATGGGCAACTTCATAAAGGCCAGTGGAGTAAGTGCTCCAATAGGGTGTGCTTGGAGTACTGTGGACACACAGAAGAGAGGCACCTGTTCTATTTTACATAAATAACGCACATGGTGTGCCTCCTTATGGCCAACCCAGCCCTTCCCCTGAAACAAAGTATGCTAATTTTTACAAGTTATTGTAAATTAGCATAATCTTTACATGTAAAGCATGCATGTTATTAGCGTAAAAATACATTAACCTTCTCTCCGCTTTCTCTGTAGACAGGATGTCTTAAGTGGAGTCCCCCCAGGAGATTGGTGGGTGGTGTGTGAGGAAAGAAAGTGTAGACTTGTTCCAAGCTAAAGAGCCTGAGAGGCACATGTGTAAAGACCCAGAGGCACAAGAAAACTTTGTATGTCCAATTAACTGATACTTAATGAGAGCTTGCAAGGAGCTCTGGTAGCGTAGTGGTTACGAATCGGGCTGCAAACCACAAGGTCAGCAGTTCGAAACTACCAGCTGTTCCGTGGGAGAAAGATGAGGTGTTCTGCTCCTGTAAAGATTTACAGCCTCGGAAACCCTGTACAGGGTCGCTATGGGTCGGAACCGACTCCACGGCACACAGCAGCAGCAGCAATAAGAATGTGCAAAAATGGTGTGAGGGGCTAACAAGTGGGACGGACAGATTATTAAAGTCCTTATCAACCCCTGGCAGATTCCTGTGAGGCAGAGGTCAGATGCACCTTTACCCACCAACCTTTCCCCTGTCCTGTTACCAGCCATCTCTCCTACAGCATACTACTTTCTCTGCTGGGTTTGATCACTGATTTCAGTGATCACACAGAACTCACAGACAGTACTCATGATTATGAAGTTTATTAGGAAAGTTAACACGGTACAATTCAGGAGCAGAAACAACTCAGAGTTGAGCAGTTCTCTGGTCAGAAGCGTTTCTTCCCAAGCCATACCACAAGCAAGCCTCTCTCATTCTTGGTCTCTTAGTCATGT